CCCAAAGAGTAACCACCTCAGTTTATGTAGTTCCTGATTCTATTCTCATCTTCAGAATTAGAGTCAGGCCCTACATGGCTGGCCTACTTTCTGCTCCTTTGAAGCTTGGTCATGTGACTTGCTTTGGCCATTGGAATGTGGCATAAGTGACAGCATGTCATTTTCCAGCCTTAGCCATAGGGAAAATTGTATTTATCCATTCCCTTTTCTTGGAATTTCAGTGAGAAGCAGCAGCTCCAGATAGCCTAGGCCCCAGAGACAGCCTTATGGAGCAGGGCTGCCTCAGTGACCCACAAATCAGTTAGCAAGAACTAAATGCTTATTGTTATATACCAGTGAGATTGTGTGGCTTTGTTATGCAGCAAAAAACGACTGATTTATGGTATATGTATACCATGGAGTACTATTCAGCTTTAAGAAACAATGGTGATATAGCACCTTTTTTATTCTCCTAGATAGAGCTGGAATGCATTCTACTAAGTGAAGTATCCCAAGAATGGAAAAACAAGTACCACATGTACTTACCATCAAATTGATATTAACCGATCAACACAGAAGTGCACATATAAGAATAACATCTATTGGATGTTGGGCAGGGGGGAGGGGGGACAGGGAGGAGGGGACGGGTATATGCATACACAAAGAGTGTGATGCGCACCATCTGAGGGATGGACGCACTTGAAACTCGGACTCGGCGGGGGGGCAGCAAGGGCAACATACGTAACCTAAACATCTGTACCCCCATAATATCCTGAAATTAAAAAAAAAAGAAAAGAAAAAAGAAATAAAGTTTTACTTTCTAAATTAAAAAAAAAATGACTCATTTGTGTTCTGCGTGTCTCTTGGCCTAGACTGTTTAACTCTTAGAGAGTTACTTCAAGAAGAGTTCTATGCCCAAAGCTGATGTACAATAAAGACTAGTTTTTGGATTAAATGTGTTTGCATATGTAATTGCATACATTGGACATACATGTGCATGTGCATAGGGCACTGGTGGGTGTAAGAGCGGACATGCGTGTAAGACGTACACGAATAGCAGAGTGGTAGCTAAATGACAGCTTCCAGGCTGCACCCATCTGCCTGGAACACCATGAGAAAGGCCCATAGTTCATTTAGCTGCCGCCTCATTCCCTTTTCCTGAAGCTTGTGCTTCCTGACATGGAGTTGGAAACATCTGAGCCTTCTGAGATAGGGCAGAAGGTTCTAGAATCACAGACTGGAAGCAAACCAAATGGTGTGTTACTGACCGCACTTTCTCTCCCCTTTAAACTCCTTCAGCCCTCTTAATATGGGGCACAGAGGTACCTTTGTGGCAACAGAGCTTAATTCATCTGCTGAGAAAAGTACTAGAAAGGGTCCCAAGTCCTTTGTAGTCTCAGCTGTCCAGTTCTGAGGAAGTCTAAAAAGAGATAATAAACAGTAAAATGAAAAGCCATGCTATGGTGGACATCTGTTGCCCTTTTACCCCACATCCTTTCTTTCAGGAACAGACCATCTTCATACTTGGACAGGCTGTCAATCACACAGACCTACTTCCCTAACCAAGAAAATCATGTGATGTAGGCTGAGCAATCAGAGTCATCCCTGGGAATTTTGATGGAACTACCAGAGAAGCTCTCTTTTTTCTGGTATCTCTCACTGTAGAGAGGATATTGGCAGATATTCCTGTCACCAAGTGGAGAAAATAAAGGCCACACCAAGGAACACAAAGCTGAGGGATGGGAGGAACATATTCCTGACGACATCATTTGAGACCCCGGATCCAGCCATGCCTGAAATACACCCCTGTAGTTTTTCATTACATTCCATTTCTGAACTCAATAAACTCCCATTTTTTTAGTTTGAATTGAATTATTGAGTTTATGTCATTTACATCACATTGTCTCCATCCTCAATAGAAGAATAATGGCATACTTGTTTCTTTTAAATTACCATAAGTCTTCTCTTACAGCAAGAAAAAAACTTTTCTCTTGAACTTGGCAAGATAACAGCACTGACCGAGAATCCACTGTTATTTTTATACAGACTATAAATATCTACAGCAAAAGTGCACCACGCTATCTTTGGTGACATCTCTAGAAAAAGTCTTCCCAATTAGCACTGAGAGCCCCTCTCTAGGACGAAGGCAAACTTCCCCTGGTCAAACAGCCTCCATTCTTATTTCTTTGATAAAGATATTATACCACTAGACTGGAAGTTCCATGAGGGTGGGAACCATGCCTATGTTAATAACCACTGTACCTTCAGCCTTAGTAGTAAAACAGTTGTCACATACTCAGCTCTATGTGCCAGACACTGTTGTATGTCTTTTACGTGTATTAACTCATTTAATTGTCACAACCACCCAGTGGAGACGATTACTGGCCCTATTCTACAGATGCAAAAATTAAACTTCAAAAAGATTAAGTAACTTTTCCCAAACCCACACACAGTAAATGATAGAAGCAAATTTTTAAACCAAAGAGTCTGGCTCCT